TTGACTCGCATCACCCAGAGTCTCCTTCCCTAATGTTTATTGCATTCGGTCTATTTTCATTCCAGACAATAGTTGTAGTGGTTTTTTATATTTTATTAGTTGCTCGTGCACTTGTAACACCAGATTTTGGGGATTTATAGCAGATGTTCATGGTTGTATATGATATTTATATAATTTCGCCTTATGTTTTGTTCATATTTCGTGACTTAGTGAGAATGAAAGTATTTATCATGGTTCCTAATTCTATCTTCGCTTTATTATTTCAATTGTTGATTTTAAAAAGTGTTATGAGAGGATGTTTGTGTTGATGATTCATCGTTGGTTTGCCTAAAGGAAACGTTGGGTGCCATCGCAACCTATGGTAGGAATTGGGTCGTGACAGCTTGGTATCAGAGCACTAGGTTCATATAGGTTTATGAGTCATGAGCATATCTAGTAGAGTCTTGCAGATTGGTGCGAAGACGTCTATACGTATCTTTAAGAGGCTATAGGGTGTTAAGAAACTTCTCTTTCTTTATTTCCTATTGTGCTGTAAATGTTGTTATAAAGTCTAAATCTTTCTCTTATTCTCTCACATATGGTGAGAACACACGTGATGGCATCATCTGACGGTAGAGGGACTGCTCCCCCAGTCGTTAGAGGTACATATAAAAGCCGAGGCAGGGCTAGAGCTCCTGCTGGGGGACGAAGGCGTCTCCGAGTTTCCCTAGCGGCACCATCAGTGGATTTGGTGGATGATCATATTATTGAAAAGTAGGATGAGATACCTGCAGCCGAGCAGACCTCGACAAAGTTCATGACCACACGGTCTTTAGGAGGTCATGGACCATATGCTGCGATTCATGGACTCTATGATTTAGGCCGGGTTATTTCTAGTAGACCCACCTATATCTCAGGCAGGAGGGGGAGCACAGAACCTACCGCTCATTTGCTATGGCACGCTGCTGCCATTTATCAGACCCTTGGGGTACTAACTGCGAGCGGAGTTTAGCCAATTGTAGTGGCTAGGGCAGAGACCAGACGGGCTGCGACCATTGATGAGGAGAAGTAGCTACATAAATTTACTAGGCTTCATCCTCCGCACTTTGGCGATGAGCCATCAGAGGACCCACAAGATTTGATTGACCGTTGTAGGGAGAGGCTGCATAATTTGGGACTAGTGGAGTCCAACGGGGTAAACTTCACCACTTTCAGCTAGAGGGTAAGGCCCGTAGATGGTGGTAGTCATATCTTATGAGTAGGATAGCAAGTTCACCTCCCTTGACTTGGGATCATTTCATACATATCTTCCTGGAAAAGTACATTCCAGCTTCATAGAGAAAGGAGTTACGGGGTCAGTTCGAGCGGCTCCAGTAGAGTTAGATGTTTGTGACCGACTATGAGGCGAGATTCACTAAGTTGCTTCGTCATACAGCTATATTACTTCCTAGAGAAGCAAAGAGGGTGCAGAGGTTCATTGCGAGCTTGTACTATAGGATTCAGGTTACTATGGCCCGAGATGCAGAGTTGGGGACTTCTTTCCTCTAGGTCATAGAGATAGCTTGGAGGATCGAGCGTATCTGCATACAGGGAAGATAGTTCACGTCGAGGGACAAACGGACTAGGCATTTTGGAGGGTTCAACAGTGTCTTGTCTGCAGGCAGAGGTTAGTTCGTGAGGGACAATCCTAGCATGCCTATGTATCAAGCACCATAGCCTTTTTGGGGTTCTCCAGCGCGGCCTTGCTTCAGCTCCATCCCAAAGCACACCTACCGTCCACCAGTTATTTAGGGTTCCTCCACTAGGTACTCAGGCTATCAGGGCTAATCCTGATTCAGCATTTTCTGACACTAAGAGGTTTCTTCAAGTATGGGGAGTTTGGCCACGTAAAGAGGTTTTGTCCTAAACTTCAGGGCAAGGTAGTGTATCAAGGCCATCAGCCCATGGATAGCGCACCAGCTGCTGCACCGCATGTCCAGCCGGCCAGAGGCAGAGGGAAGGTGGGTAGGGTTTGCCCTAGAGGTGGAGTCCTGATAGGTGGCGCTCTGGCTAGATTATATGCCTTTCCAACTAGACCTGAGGCAGTATCCTCTGATGCCGTGATCACATGTATTATTTATATATGTCGTAGAGATGCATCAATATTATTTGATCCAGGGTCTACCTATTCCTATGTATCTTCTCTTTTCTCTCCTTGTCCAGATATATCTCGTGAGTCCTTGGGTGTTACTGTATATGTGTCCAAGCCGGTGGGTGATTTTTTTTGTTGTGGATCGGGTTTACCGGTCATGTGTGGCGACTTTCTGTGGGTATGCAACCAAAGAGGATCTTCTACTGCTCGATAGATTGACTTCGAGGTTATCTTGGGCATGTATTGATTGTCTCCGTATTATGACATTCTTGATTTCCATGCCAACACTATTATCTTGGCGATGCTGGAGTTACCTAGGCTAGAGTGGAGAGGTTCATTTAGTAGTGCATCCAGTCAGGTTATTTCTTTCTTAAAGGCTCGACATATAGTCGAGAAGGGTTGTTTGGCCTATATGATCTTTGTTCAGGATACTGCTAGACTCCCATGATAGATTCAACGCCTGTGGTACAGGAGTTTTTAATGTATTTTTTGCTGACTTACCAAGCGTGCCACCAGATTGTAATGTCAATTTCGACATTGATTTGACATGAGGCACCCAACCTATCTCTATTCTGCCTTATCGTATGGCTCCCGCAAAGTTGAAGGAACAACTTCAGGAGTTGCTCGAGAAGGGATTCATCGGCCGAGTGTGTCTCCTTGGGGCACGCTGGTGTTATTTCTGAAGAAAAAAGGATAAGAGTATGTGGATGTGCATTGATTACCTCCAGCTAAATAAAGTCACCATCAAGAATAAGTATTCGCTGCCGCGCATTAATGATTTATTTGATCAATCTCAAGATGCTAGGGTGTTCTAGAAGATTGACTTAAGATATGGGTATCATCAACTGAGGATTCGTGCTTCGAATGTTCCAATGATGGCTTCTCAGACTAGATATAGGCATTACGAGTTTCTATTTATGTGCTTCGGCTTGACTAATATTCCAGCATCATTTATGGATTTGATGAATTGGGTGTTCATGCAATATCTTGACTCATTTGTCATTGTCTTCATTGATGACATATTGATCTACTCGTATAGCATGGAGGAGCACGAGCAACATTTGAGGGTAGTGCTTCAGACTTTGAGGGAACCAAAGCTATATGCTAAGTTCTTCAAGTGCGAGTTATGGTTAGATTCTATGGCTTTATTGGGCATGTTGTATAAGGTGAGGGTATTAAGGTGTATCTCAAGAAGATCGAAGCAGTTCAAAGTTGGCCTTGTCCTGCCACAACGATCGAGATCAAGATTTTCTTGGGGCTAGCAGGTTATTATTGTCGGTTCGTGAATGGGATTCTCGTCTATTACATCTCCTTTGACTAAATTGACCTAGAATGGTATTCATTTCAGGTGGTCCGATGATTACGAGGCGAGCTTTTAGAAGATCAAGACCTCATTGACTACATCACTAGTGTTGGTTTTGCCTTTCCATTCAGGGATGTACATTGTGTATTGAGACAATTTATGTATTGGGTTGGGTTGTGTATTAATGTAGGAGGTGCGAGTTATTATGTATGCTTATCGTCAGTTGAATTCTCACGAGAAGAATTGCCATATGCATGATTTGGAGTTGGTTGCAAAAGTTCATGATCTCAAGACCTAGAGGCATTATCTTTATGGAGTTTCGTGTGAGGGTTACACCGATCATCGCAGCTTACAACATTTGTTTAAGCAGAAGGATATTAATTTTAGGTAGCGCAAGTGGCTTGAGTTATTAACAGACTATGATATCACCATTCTTTATCATCCAGGCAAGGCGAATGTGGTCGCCGATGCCTTTAGAAGAAAGCCCGAGAGTATGCATAGTTTGGAGTTTATTATAGCAGAGGAGAGGCCATTGAGTTTGGACATTCATTCCTTAGCTAACTGACTTGTGAGATTGGATATTTTAGAGCCCAACCGAGTTGTTGCATGTGTTGTGGCTCAGTCTTCTTTATTCGAGCAGATTAAGGCTCGTTAGTAAGATGATTTGCACTTGTTATTCTTAGAGAGATAGTACTACAAGGTGATGCCAAGGAGGTGATTATCGGATATGATGGTGTTCTACGACTCTATGGTCGTTTATGTGTTCCTAATATTGATGGTCTGAGGGAGTCGATTCTAGAAGAGGCATACAGTTCATGCTATTCCATTTATCTAGGTGCCACGAAGATGTATCGTGACTTGAGGCAACATTACTGGTAGCGATAGATAAAGAAGGACATAATTAAGTATGTGTTGAGATATCTGAATTGCCAGTAGGTTAAGTACGAGTACTAGAGGCCAGGTGGTTTACTTCAGCAGATGGTTATATCAGAGTGGAAATGGGAGAGCATTACTATGGATTTCGTGGTTGGTTTACCATGGACGTTGAGGAAATTTGATGTTGTTTGGGTCATTGTCGATAGACTAACCAAGTCCGCGCACTTTATTCTGGTGATGACTACATATACTTCGGAGAGGTTGGCCCATATTTATATCCAGGAGATCATCTGGTTGCATGGCATTCCTATTTTCATTATCTCAGATCGAGGTACTCAGTTCACTTTGCATTTCTATAGAGCGACACAGAGTGAGTTGGGTACCTGGCTCGAGCTCATCACAACCTTTTATCTGCAGACTGATAGGCAGTCGGAGCGGATAGTTCAAATTCTGGAAGACAGTCTCAAAGCATCTCTGACTGACTGCGGAGGGTAGTGGGACCGATTCTTACCATTGCCCGAGTTTTCTTATATAAACAACTATTAGTCTAGCATCGAGATGGCTCCATTTGAGGCATTGTATGGTTGACGATGTCATTTCCCCATCGGTTAGTTTAAGTCCGGTGAGGCTAGGTTGTATGGTACCAATTTGGTGAAGGATGCCTTGGATAAGGTAAAGTTAATTCAGGAGCGACTTTGCATAGCACAGTACATGCAGAAGAGTTACACGGATCAAAAAGCACGTGATTTGTCATTTATAGTAGATGAGAAGGTACTTTTGAAAGTCTCGCCGATGAAGGGTATTATTAGATTTGGGAGTAGAGTCAAGTTGAGTCTGAGATTTATCGATCTGTTCGAGGTTTTGGAGCAAGTTGGTGAGGTTGCATACATACTTGCTTTGCCTCCTAGACTATCGAGATTTCATCTAGTATTTCACATGTTTATGCTCCGGAGGTACCATGCTGAAAGGTCCCATGTGTTGGATTATAGTACAATTCAGATGGATGAGAGAATGAGTTACGAGGAGGAGCCGGTTGCCATTGTTGATCGGCAGGTCCACAAATTGAGGTCTAAGGAAATTTCAGCTGTGAAGGTTCAATGGAGGGGTCAGCTAGTCGAGGAGGCAACTTGAGAGACCAAGGAGGACATGCGGAGAAGATATCCACACTTATTCGGCACTTCAGATATAATTCTAAACCCGTTCGAGGACGAATATTTTTTAAGAGATGGAGAATATAACCACCCAATTGGTCATTTTGCTTTCTAGAAACCCGTTCCCCTATTTAAGACTTCTCATATGTGTTTTTCTTGTTTTATGATTTGCGGGGGCGGTTGGTTTCTGGAAGGGTTTGGGTTGAAGTGAGGACACTTAGTTCCATAATAGTGGTCTAAGGTGGCCAAGTTTGACTTAAGTCAATACTTTGAGTAAACGACCTTGAAATCAGGATTTAAAGGTTCCAATAGTTTCGAATGGTGATTTTGGACTTGGGAGTATGTTCGTATCAAGTTCCGAGCGTTCCGAGAGTGATTCAGTGCTTATTGTTGGAAATTGGCATTTTCAAGGTTTTATAGTTCTCTAAGTTTGACTTGGAGTGCACTTTGGTGGTATCAGATCCCGTTTGGTATTCCGAGCTTGGGGATAAATTTTCATATTGTCATATCAGACTTGTGTGTGAAATTTGGTTCCATTCCAAGTTGTGTAGGTATGATTCGCAGCGTTCGGAGTTAGTTGATAGATTAAAAGCTTGAAAGATTGATTAATTTGGTTTGGGGTATGATTCTTGGGTGTGATGTTATTTTAAGTGTTTTGAGGCCTCGAGTAGGTTCGGGTTATGTTTTTAGACTTGTTGGTATGATTGAACAGGATCCTGGGTGGCTCAGGTGAGTTTCAGACCACCCGGAGCATGTTCAAAGTCGGCAGATTTTGCTGGTGTTGGTGTGCTTCGCGATCGCGAAGGAGGTGCCGCAATCGCGAAGAAGGAATTTGGAGGGGGGAAGTTATTTTTCTCTATACAAATGCGATTGAGGACCCGGCTCATCTTCGCGAAGGCGAATGAGCCTACACGAACGCGCATAAGGAATAGGAAGGGAAGGGCTAATGGGATTTGGCCTTCGCGAACACGGCGGTTGCCCCGCGGTCGCGAAGGGTTGGTGGAAGTGTTCTTCACGAACACGGAAACATGTTCGCAAATGCGAAGAAGGAGGCCTAGGCAGGAGCAGCGTTGGCCTTCGCGATCATAAGGGAGCTTCCGCGATCACGATGAAGGATGCCTGGGCAGATTATAAGTCTCATTTCGGGACTTAGACTCATTTTTATCACTTTTTCTCTTAGCTTGGGCGATTTGGAAGCTTTTGAAGGGTCGTTTTCATCAAGTATCACTAGGTAAGTGATTTCTATTAATTGTGATTACAATACATGGATTATGTATGAATTATTAACATGAAAATTAGTAGAAATTGTGGTATTTGGTTGGAAAATCTAGAATTGGTAAAAATTAAATTTGACCACGAATTTGGGCATGAAGTTAGAAATAAATTATATATTTGAGTTCGTGATACCAATGGTAATATTTATCTTCAAAAAGTTTTGGAAACCGGGTGGGTGGGCATGAGATTGACTTTTGTTGACTTTTCGAGTGGGGTCAGGACTTGATTCAAATAATTAAATTATGAGTTCTTGAGTATATTTTAATTGGTTTTCACATTCCTTTGGCTAGTTTCGATTTTCTCGCTATCTATTTGAGGTGTTAGTGAAGTGTTGGAGTCGAGTAGTGGACTTGAAAGCAAGGTAAGTCTCTTGCTTAATCTTGTAAGAGAAAATTATACCCATTAGTATTCTTTTATTATGTGCTACATGTTATGAGTACTATGTACGTATGAGGTGACTGGCGTCCATACGTAAGATAGATCCTTGGTTATGTCCGGGTAGACTTAGACTTACATCATGCCTTAACTGTTTTACTTGAATTAATCTTGCCTAATTGATCACTTGAATTCATTACTAAGCTTAAGACTAGAATTTACGTATTTGACCAAGCCTCTTTACTTTAAGTTTTGGCAGGATACTTGATTGTCGGTAAAAATTATACTTTCTCTTGCATTCATATCCTCGTGTTATGCTTATATGATCGGTAGTTCCCTGATTTTGTGACTTGCATGTACCTTCACAAGTGGGGCTAGTGACCCGATGAAAGTTTCTCTATTCCTGTGGGATCGGGCCATCCGCCTCGACGGTGTTATAAAATATTATTATAGGAGTCGACCGTTCGTCTCGGCAGTATTATAAGATGAATCTATGGATCGGGCCGTACGACCTTGACGATATTATGTAACACTATTCTTATGAATTCGGGCAATTCGCCTCAGCAGAATCATGCATAATATTTGATAAGGAGTCAGAGCACATATGAGTTTTCCTGATTTGAGATTTGATATGTGTCATATATTGGTTATCTTTGTTTCCTTCGAAGCAGTGTATGGTTTTTGATGATTTCGTAATTATTCTTATATTGAGAATCATATTATTATATTTACCTATTTTCTTGCTACTTGTTGTGTTTCATATTTGTCTATTTTGATGTATATTGTTATTGGACCACTAGCAAGTATCGACGTCAACCCCTCGCCACTACTTATTCGAGGTTAGACTAGATACTTACTAGGTACGCGTTAATTTACATACTCATACTATACTTCTGCACTAATTGTGCAGGTACATCGGGTGATCACTCAGGCGCATGAGCGTATCGGCTGGAGACTTAGTGGTGAGCTGCTTCCCATGCTTCTACTCGCAACACCCAAAAATCCGCTATGTTTATTGCATTCTGTCTACTTTCATTCCAGATAGTAGTTGAAGTGATTTTATTATTTTATTAGTTGCTCGTGCACTTGTGATACCAGGTCTTAGAAATTTATAGTAGATGTTCATGGTTGCATATGATATTTATATCATTTTGCCTTATGTTTTGTTCATATTTCGTGACTTAGTAAGAATGAAAATATTTTATCATGGTTCCTAATTCTATCTCCACTTTATTATTTTAATTCTTGATTTTAAAAAGTGTTATGAAAGATTTTTTGTGTTGATGCTTTATCGTTAACTTGCCTAACGGTAGTGTTGGACACCATCATGGCCTATGGTAAAAATTAGGTTGTGACAGATAATCACGATAGAGGTTTGTACAACCAGTTCATGGATGTTCCAACTCGTGAGTTAGTGGGAGATGACAGGCTGCCTTTCCCTGAAAGGTGGAACTTTAAGCGTAAGTTCCCACCACCACCACCACCATCGAATTTAATTAAAATCCTTATTCCTCTGTATAAACTTCTTGCAGCAACCCCAGAAGTTTTCGGAGAAATCTTAGATCTCCGTGAGTGGGTAGCATTGATAAATTCTTCTTCTGATCAGAGGAATTGGAAATTTCTTTCTAAGAAACTTGGATAGGAAATGAAAACCCATGGTAAATCGTTTTTGCACCATGTTTATTTTCGTCTCTGTTTACCATTTTTAATGCCTCGTTCTCGTATGTAGGTTTTGGAATTCGTGGCGTCGCTCCTTCTTCTTCTCCTTCTGTTAGACTTGATGTCAACACAGCTCAAGAGCGTATCTTAAGTTTGTCCTTTTCAAAGAAGAAAGATAGAGAAACCCCTACACTTGAGGAATAAGAAGGTTCTCTTAAAAAGAAGCCTCGTTCTAGGAAACAAGTTGTATTAGAAGATGACTAGATCAGTCCCCAAGCCTAACCTCTTGAAATTGCTCCTTTTCGCTTGGTTGATGAATCGGAAGATACTCCAATGGTGATTTCAGATGAAGAGGTCGTTGAACCAGCTTTAGTACCCCCACGATACTAATCGAAGAATTGTTCTATCAAGTGTTCGGGGATCATGATGATGGAATTTCCATCAACAACCAACCCCTTGTAACTCCAGCTCTGGCTCCTCCCATCCCAGCTCAAGATATTGTTGGCCATTCTGAGAAAGGGAAGATGTGATGGGTGATAGTTGAGGTCCCCGAAGGAGTTAACCTTTTGAAGTAACCTGATCGAGTTGCTACTTTGTTGAAACCTTTGATAGGACCCATCGAGAGGAAGAAATTGAAGTCACATTTTTCAGTCACTCTCCTAAATGATGTGATTCATCCAGCTCTCAGGATATGATTCATTCCTTTTTACTTGTTTTTCTTTTTCTTCGAACTTATCCAACTCCTTAACCTTCTTTAACACAGATCAATTTTGACGGGTACGGAGCTAATGAGGAGAGTGGCTTGGACTGAACAACAAGTTGAGGAATTAGGCATGGAGGATGATAAGTAGAAGGCACAATTTGAGAGGCTTCAGCTTGAAAAAGATGAATCAGACAAAGAGAAGGAGTCTCTCCAATAGAAAATTAAAGGCATGACCTCGGAGCTTGCATTAGCAAAAGCTTCGATGAAGCAAGATGAAGGGAAGATATATTAGTTGGAAGCTAGCTTTACTGAACAACATTCTAAGGCTACATAAGAGATTCGTAGCTTGAAGAACCTTTTAAATCAGAAAGAGGTGTACGTTGGAGAACTAGTTAAAGAGTTCACTCAAGTCAAAGAGGATATTCGTTCCTTTTCTGAGAGGATTAATTTCCTCGAATCTTCTTTGGAACCTTTAAAGGTTTCTTATGGTGTTGTTGAAGCTGAGAAGGAGAACTTACAGGCTAAAGTTGATCAGTGGAGGAATAACATGATGCCATCGAGAACAAATTGCACATGGATGTGAGTTGGACGTACTTCCGCTCCCGCTAAAGAGCTTAACTGAAGCCAGTTGAGAAAATTTTAGCCTTAATGCTGAAATTGCGAAGGCTAAAACAACTATTGAAGTGTCTCAGCAAGGTCAAAATTTCTCCACTCCTGAAAAAGAGTGTTCTGGAGGTGATATGGATGAAGAAGATGTGGAGATAGAATTTCATCCTCCATCTTCAAGTCCCCACGCTGATCCTTCCCAAGCTGCCGATCCTTCCTTAGCTGATAACCCTTCTTAAGTTGCTACTCCTTTACAACAAGATATTCCACATTATCATTAATCTTAGCTTTTATTATTGCCAAGAGTTTTTTTGGTTTGTCTTTGGTACATTTCGTGCCAACTTTCCGTGCTTTTTATGCAA